ACAGCCTCAGGATGATAGATTCCCAATGCAAGAGCTAGAGAGAATCCTAAGGAACCTCCTAAGAATGGAGACCTGACCCCACTTACTTATCAATACAGACCAGGGCCAACACATAGGAATGCTTTGAGATAAGTATTGAACTATTATATCACCTATCAGCATTTCTCTTTATTAATTCCATGTGACCTTAGCATTATGAACAATGAAATCCTTAAATAAAAAGATGTTGTATATTTGCTTTAGGGAATCAGCAAAAGTAGGGAGATGGTAAGCTCTGCTCCTGAGACTCTACTTCCAGAATGATATTCCATAATCTACTTTCACCAAATCACCTGGCTGGCCAATGAAAGGCATCATAATCTGAGTGAGGAGCTTGGAATATGACCTTTTTGTCAGTGCCTCAAGCAAATCTTAGGCAAACTAAAACTTTAAAACTATTCCTTTAACTTTGTGGGCAAGGAACGACACAATTGGGCAGAAAGGAGGCAACAGTGAATCTGAGAAAAAATAGAATCTTGTGATGATTAATTTTATGTGTCAACTTGGCTGAGCCATGGTGCCTAGATATTTGGTCAAATGATATTCTGGATGTTTCTGTGAGGGTGTTTTTGGATGAGACTTACATTTAAATCGGTGGACTTTGAGGAAAGCAGTTTACCCCCAGAGGGTGGGCCTCATCCAGTCAGTTGAAGGCCTGACGAGAATGAGAAGCTGACCTCCCCTGAGCAAGACAGAACTCTGCAGCAGACGGCCTGCAGATTTCATCACCAACATCAGCTCTTCCTTGTTCACCAGCAGACCCCTTTGCACCAGAGCTGCATCTCTTTCCTGAGTTTCCAACTCACTGGCCTCCCAATCAGATTTTGGATTCACCAAGACTCCACAATGAGTGGAGTTACAATGAGCTGATTCCTTAAAATAAATCTCCTTAATTCATATATAGAGGATAGGATAAAATATATATATATATATATCCTGTTGGTTCTGTTCCTCTGAGAATCCTAATATACAACCCTTGCACTTGAGAGACAGGGTCCATGAAACCTAAGTGGATCTAAGAAAGCTTAAGGCCCATGCCAGCGAAGAGCCTGGACACTTACCTTTAATATATTTAGGGAATTACCAAATAGACAGCAGCCAAACTTGGTGACAGAGTTCAAAGAGAAGCAGTGACCACAGTCAATTTTTTTTTTTGATAAGAAGAAAAGATCAGAATCAACCCTTGTAACAAAAGCAGTTTTCAAAAACAGAGAGCTCCTTACCGTGTTACAGTAAACATATAAAAAGACTGGATGGCTCAGGAGGTTTAGCATCTAACTCTTGATTTTAGCTCAGGTCAGGATCTCAGGGTCATGGGATCGAGCCCCACATCAGACTCCATGCTCAGTGGGGAGTCTGCTTCTCTCCCTCTCTCTCTCCATCTCCGTCTGCCCACCCCCCACTTGCACATGCTCTCTCCTCATTCTCTCTAAAATAAATAAAGAAATCTTAAAAAAAAAAAAAACTTTCTGAGGATGGAGTGCTATCTAAGAGTGGCAAGCTAGAGCTTTACTGCAGACCACCCATCAGCTTGGAACTGTGAAATCGCCTCTGGCCAAAGTACATCTGCCAGAAAAAAGCTCCATTACCAAATGAGAGTAGTATGGGAATCAGAGAATTGCTCTTATTTTGATGGATGATCTAATAAAAAGATATAAAAGTGATTAGAAACAATCACATTAAACCACCAAGTAGAGTTCTTTTTGTTTTGTACTACAGAGTGGATTCTTGCATCGGGTGGAAGACTGGACTGTATAACTTCTAAGTTTAGGAAACCGTACAAAGAAGGAAACCTGATAGCAACAGTCTTTTATGGCCAGCGAACTATTTTCAAGTCACCACGACAGCCATGACAACAATCACAAAAAGCCCCGGGAAGTCACGTAGACTCAAAAAAGAAGAGCCAACTTTCCATTCCTAATCCTGCCATTGGTAGTGCAACTCCTGCCATGTTTTTGTGAATGGGAGGACTGGCTTCCAGATGGTTCTCTCCAAGATAACAATGTTGCAAGTCTATAAATGGCCATGGTAAGTCCAGCCTAGTCATTTGCTTAGCATCACCGGGGGTAATTAGAGTGGCTCAGGTTAGGACGACTGGCCACAATTTCCTTCAGTTCACTAAAGGTAAATGCAGGCTTTGAGAGAAGCAACAACAGAGGCTTTGCACACCTGTGTGGTACGGGGGCTCAGGGGAAAAGGGGGTGGCGGGGCACTCAGAGCTCTTCAAAAGAGCTGGTACTCACAATGAAGCTGTACCTCCTCTAAAATGACCTGCTAAATTTAGCATGGATTCTTCAGGAAGGCTTTTGAGTCCTTTTTGCACGAAAAACAAAGCACTTTGGCAAGGTTTGCCAAGTTACCTGCTAGGTGCTAAATGCTTCAACTGCCTTTTCAATGAGTTAATTCTATACCACCAGGCAGAGCCTCCTAGCAAGACTTGCCATGCAGATGACACCCATGCAGAGGAGGGGTGTAAGCCAGCGACGTGCATGTTTTAAGAAAACATGGTGGGGGTGCCTGGGTGGCTCAGCTGGTTGAGAGTCCAACTCTTGGTTTTGGCTCAGGTCATGATCTCAGGGTTGTGAGATCGAGCCCCATGTTGGAGAGAACCATCTGGAAACCAGTCCTCCCATTCACAGCTTAGAGCCTGCTTAAGATTCTCTCTCTTCCTCTCCCTCTGCCCCTCCCCACCACACATGCATGCATTCTCTCCCTCTCTCTGTCTCAAAAAAACAAACAAAGGGGTGCCTGGGTGGCTCAGTTGTTAAGCGTCTGCCTTCGGCTCGGATCATGGTCCCGGGGTCCTGGGATCGAGCCCCGCGTCGGGCTCCCTGCTCAGCGGGAAGCCTGCTTCTCCCTCTCCCACTCCCCCTGCTTGTGTTCCCCCTCTCGCTGTGTCTCTCTCTGTCAAATAAATAAATAAAACTTTAAAAACAAACAAACAAAAAACAAATCATGGTGACTGCTGTATGGCTAAAAAGTTTCCCCAGATGGGTCATCCATTGTAAGAGAAAGCACACAAGGAAACAACCACTGTGTCAGTCCCAAATTCCAAGAACAGCCCTCCCTTCCTTGTTTCAGTAATTTCTCTTCCACCACTCTTGTCTTTCTCAGGGCTAATCAGGCCCCAGAAGTGTTCACTGGGAATAATAAGGATGAATTTGGGGAACACCAGTGTGTCTCCTCTTCGCACTTGGAAGGTCTGATGCTCTTCCAGCTGGGATGGTTGTCTTTCCTCGGGCCTGCATGCTTCCTCTCTTCGGGAACATCCTTATCAAATAAGCTCCCCCACTGCTTCCTCATCTTCTCTCAGGTTCTATACCCTCCTCAGCCTTGACTGTCAAAGCAGAACACTCAATATTCTTTACTTCTTTTTCCCCCCATAAAGTAAATTGATAAATGAAGCTTTCCCTCAGGAAAGAGAGAAAATTGTCCAAGCTGGCCAAGCTGGAAGAAAACCGTATTCACAGGACAGGCTTGGCTTTGTAAAAGAAGTCCCAGGCTCTGCCTCTGGCTTCATGCCAGGCACCATCCCCTGCCCTGGGGGTTTCATTCTGGCTTTGGTTTACATTCGTGTTCCTTTTCAAAGATTTAGCAGAAATTCTTGTTCCACTACTCTCTTCGGGCATTTTGCCCCCTGCAGAGGATATCTCACCAGAAAACGGTATATTTACCCCACCGCAAATTGTACACTTAACACATCAAAATCATGGGTTTTCCAGGATGACCCGAGCAACACTTGAAAGCATCTTCCAACACCTCTCCGACCGTTGCCCCCCTCCCCACTGCACCAAGTTCACACCACTATAACCAGAGGCACTGACATTACCGTAAGGAAGCTTCACCAAAGAAAGTTCACCTGTGCTACCCTTCAGATTGGTCTAAAACTGGGGCACCTGGGTGGCTCAGTCAGTTAAGCATCTGCCTTTGGCTCAAGTCATGATCTCAGGGTTCTGGGACCGAGCCCCATGTCTGGCTCCCTGCTCAGCAGGGGAGTTTGCTTTTCCCTCTCTCTCTGTCCCTGCTCCTGTGTGCTGTCTCTCTCTCTCAAATAAATAAATAAAATTTTTTTAAAAATTGGTCTGAAACAAACTATGCTCTTTTGGGACTTGGGGGACCCACTTCACTTTGCACGAACTCCAGTGGACAAATGTGCAGAACAGGGAGAGGGTCAAGGAGGCCTGTGCTCTAACAGAACAGGCCCCCTTGTAAGGGGTGAGTCTCCCTCTCCTGGGATGCTGGGTGGAGCCCAAGTCCACCTGCAAAAGCTGTTTCAATGGAGCCCTCCACCAGGGGGAGTGGGTCTCAGTGGCCAGAGTCCCCTACTGGTCTGCCTCTCAGACTTCTGTCACTCAGCAGAGAACAGGAGGAGGAGCTTACCCTGTCCCTGTCCCTGCCCCAGGCTCATGTGACCTGAGCCCTAAAGAAGAAGGGGCACAGGACTCGGGCCCGCCATAGCATTGATGACGCTGGTCCGCAGAGGTCAAAAATAATGTCAGCCTTCTAGACCCAGCCTCTTCTCTGTTCCTTCTCATCCTTCCCTCTTGCTTCTGTTATCAGCACAAGGGAAACGCAGTCTGAGGAGAGGATGATGTAATGACTGGGAAATGAAGGCCTCCGCTTACCTTTTCTGTCGGACATTGATCTTGATTCTGCCACCACCAGATAAAATGACTATTTTTTCTCAAAGCATCTCTACTTTACACCAAAACAAAATCTCGCACTGCACAGACTTATTATCATTACTTTAAAAGTTATACAGAAATTGGGTGTCCATAGGCTGCACACTAATGTATAATTGAAACCAGAAATTTGAAGGGCTTTTTCAGCAAATGCACTTGTTCTCTCCCCTTTCGTTCTTGATAGAGAGGCATAGATAGATATTGATAGGTATTGATATACAGATAGAGATACATATTTACGTAAATACAGCTTTTAAAAGCTCCCAGGTATCCCCTTACCTCTGACGGCTTCGTGGTACATTTTCCTTTTCCAGAACACTCCATGTCATTTGCATGGCTCTCCCCCAGCACACAGGTGCTGACCTTCACCACCAGAGTTAGGCGCAAAGCCACAATAGATTTAGTAACAGAATCATTCACAAAACCTAAAAAAAAGCGGGGGGAGACAATAGGAAATATAAAGTAAAACTTCACCAACATTCTTTCTACAAGACTATGAGTTTATTTTCTGCAGCATTCAAGTCTGATGAATAAAACAAAATGCAATATTAGGCAAAGAAATAAAGCATGTGACTAGTGGCCATTCAGACCTCTGGCCTTTCAAGAAAGGCCAAGCGTCATGACAAATATCTAAGGCCCAAGGAAGAGGAGACCAGGCCCTCGGTCATCGCATTAAATGCTGTTGTTCTGTTACTGCTCATCTCTTCTGGGGGCCATTTTGTCTCTCAATTCCATCCCCGCATTAGCATCTTAGAATTTACTGGTTTTGAGCCCATCTTCTCCCAGGGGGCCACCTGCTCACCCCTCCTGACTCTTCCTCCTCCTGGCTACTTTGGATAGTGACAAGCACTAAATATCTCCCGAGGCCACCCCCCGTACCAGCCTGCCTGAGTGGCTCTCAGTGTCCTGACAGGTGGGTAAGCAGAACAGGAACACATTCAATGATGGGCTTACTGATAAATAGCATACTTCATCATCAGTCTGACTGCATGGTATCAATTAAGTTATGTGATTTAACTATCTAATAAAACAGGGCCAATCATAGTTGAAGACTGATTGAACTATCACTGATGTGTCATATTTACCACCAAATGATCTTGCAACTAGGGCAGCTACTTGTACGTAGGAGTAACAATAAATGTGGAAAAAAACATACCCTCCAACTGAAATGAAGAAATAATACTGTATCTTGCATCAATAATATAATTATTTCACTAAGAGAGTGTCTCTTTTTTCTAACAAGAATATTCATTTATTTATATATATTTTTTCATTTTTAAATGAACAACCTATAATTAACATATCTATTATCCAGGAGACAGACTCCCGCATTCCCCATAAAAGATGCTTAAGACGAGGTGGTGAAAGTGATTCTAGACATCCATGCGTCTCTGAGCCCCAATTTTCTCTTGTGTTAGAGAAGGAAAATAACCGCAAAATAGGGTGACCATAGAATTTATCCTCAAAACTAGGACTCTTTTCCAATCAAAATGGGAGTGCTTTTATGATTGCAAGTGGACACAGGCATAAAGTGAGACTGTTTCAAATAATGGGACAAAATGGTCACCCTCCTCCTCATGGCCTGAGGAGCACCCAGAGATCAGGAATCTGCAAAGTGTCAAGTATTACATTAATGCCAGGGTTGTTTTTAATAGGCAGATGACAGATTCGAAACAGCAATATAAGATTTAATTCAATCCACAAGCTTTAAGGTTATGATGGATGTTAAAGCAAGTCACAATGCAGAGGAGACACCCTTCAACTTCAATTTGTAATCAGGAGACGAATGTCTCTTGGTGCCTCGGTAAAGACAGGTACTCCAAGTCTCACAAGCAGTGGTATTTTACACCCACAGAGAGCCAATTGCTTTCTTCCTAAGATTTCCTACTGAAAACTTGATCATTCGTTGGCTTTGGGACAGAAGGAAAGCATGGCTCCAGTGAAGGCACTTCCTCTTTAGAGTTTCATACTTCCTCTGTCATGGCTCCGCACTCTGGAGACGCCTCACGCCACCTCCCAGCTGCCTTCACTCATGCCTGGCTCACCCCAACTCTGTAAACGGTTGCCTGGAGTACCCCTCCTCTCCCAACATTATAGCTTGGATCTCACCTTACTCCTGAGCTTTTCCTCAACATTCCACCCCCACTCCAAGCTCTGCCATGTCCACCTGTGCCCGAGGACACACTCTCGTGTACAGGTCCCTGGTTATTCTCTGTCTCAGATGCTTTCTTATCTTCCCACCTTTACTGAAGCTTCCTTAATGGCAAGGGACAAGTCTTCGAGAAGTGGTTGGTAGTAAGGCAAGAGACGGGTACATATATGGCCAAAGCAGCAAAGATAATTCCCTGGGAGGACTTTCCAAAATGTCCTGTCATCCAACATGTCGACTTTAAAAAAAGCAATCACTCGAATGCATAAATTCCTGTTTACTAAAAAATAATTGCTTATCAGTTTATGATTAACCATGATAGAAAAATGGAGCCTGGAACAATGGTGGGATGCTACCAGATTTCTTATTCTAAAAGATATTTTTACACGTAAAATAATGGAGGTAAAATCAGATATCAGAATTTATAAAGGTGTCTTTTTGTGTCTTTGCTTTGTTCTCCAGTTTCATATTAAATTATTGTTAAAAACTATATCACCTGTCTACTTACTAAGCACTTAGATCACAAAATGCTATGTAATTCCATAGAAGAGGCCTCCCTCTGAAGGTTATTTTAAAAATTCTATTCAACTATTAAATTTACTTAGCCAGTAGTAATTCAAATGAATGGGTAGTTAAAAATATGCATGGTATAGTTTTCTAGATAATTTGCTTCCATTTCCTCAATGAACATTTACTGATCTCACATCTACAAACCAGGCACTCACTTAGATTCCCAGATTACAAAGATGGCACGCTCTTCGTTTCTATTGCACCCAACCGAGTCAAGAGCAGTGATCCTTAACCAGTTTTGAAACCAGAAGCTTCATAATTTCGCAGGGGCTTTTTCCAAGTACATACTGGCAGGCTCCAACACAAGTGCTTTGGGAGCAATGGTTTGGGATGGGCCTTTGGCAGGCGTGTTTTTAAAAGACTCCCTAAGCAATTCAAACATTGTTTCCAGTTAAGAACCGCTGGCCTGGTAGAAAAACTAATCAAGGAACATAAGTAATATTATATCACCTGCAATTAGAGGCATGCATTTGAGCCTCTGAAAGCACATTTTACACATCTATTTTTGAAAGTCTAGGTGACTCTGTGTTATTTAGACAATCTTTATACTCTCTAGCTCATCATAAGTCTCTAAAGTTCTTGGAGACAACTCTGATAAAGGTTTCTATATTAGCTTTATTTGCTCCATAAGACTATGAGTATTTTGGCCCTAAAATGCTTTAGTAAACTATTAAAGAAATCAATCTTTGCAACAGTGTGTCACATATTACTATGTAATTCCTAATTATGTCAACGAATTCCCCAAAGTAAGTCAAAAGGATATGCATGTTATTTTCAGCAATATACTGCTCACACGATGAGAACGTTGTCTGGTGGCTCCTTCCAGGTAAGAATGTAATTTCAGTAAGTTGTTGGCACCTCCCTTTGATCATGTCTCAGGGAAAATGCTTGGAGCTGCTCATAATGAAAAGTAATACTGTCCAATTTAACTTTCATCAAACTGCAGCTGGGTTAGAGCAAAGTAGCCCTCAGGAAATCCCACATGCCAAGAGCAGGAACTGCACCCTTTACAAAGGGGCAGCAGGAAGAATCTGAAATGAAATAGAACTCATTTTTTTTTAAAAAAAGAATTTCTTTATGGCTTTGTAAGTAATCATTTGAAAGTTGTTGAAAAGCCAGTGTGGTTTCTTTGACACAGCACTCAAACTGATGGACACTTCTAACACACTTACAAGAAATCCAGAGCGAATGGTCACTACTTTTTCTCTTCCTTAATAACAGGAAATCAACATACACAGCATAATTCTTGATACAGACCTACATAGAAAAGTTTGTCCTCATATTCAGAATTCTAAGGTCCATAGACCAACTAATCAACTGGAGACAAAAACTGACAAAGTAGGAATGAGGAGGACACTCCAGTTCTGTTTCTAGAGCTGCCTCAGAATGGGCTTTTGTCGACATGGGCATCTTCTACGGTCCTTCCAAAAACTACAGAACTTCTCCCACACAGCAGGCCATGGCGGCACTCCAGCTAAAGACTGGTTTAAATTAACAACAAGCAAGGGAAAGAGCAAGATGAGATTTATAAAGAAGGGAGAAGGAGGGGAAGGAGGCAAGGAGGGAGGAGATTTAGAAAGAAAGTAGGAAGGAGGGAAGGAGGAAGGAAGACTGAATAGGAACAACAAAGCGTGAGACAGAAAACGGATGAGATCCCAGGAAAAGAGACACTAACACAGGAACACAAAGAAAGCAGAAATGGAGAAAGAAGACGGAGGCTCTCCATCCAAAGTTTCAGGGGCTCTCCCACCTCTGGTCACATTTTCTCACCCTCTCATTCTCATGAGAAAATATATTCTTCATTCCAACCACAACAAATGTTAAGACTAGAGTTCTTTGAAAATGTTCATGAATAAACATACATTTAAGTCATCATTGTGTACAGTCCAAGTCTATGATTCTGACTATGAGGCAAAAATATTGAGTCACTTTACATGGACAGATCGTGCGCTCCAGTGAGTAAACTAGCGCGGTGGCGTGGGTGGGATGGACAGCAGCATGGGGACAGAGGGAAGCTGAGCTCATTCGTTCAATATTCAGCAGATGCTTATCCAGCTCTAAATAAGAGGCTGCTTTTAGGGTGGGCTCCAAAGGCTGAGAAACAGCCAGCAAAGAGAGCTGAGGAGGTCATATGTCACATGAAGGAGGAGGTCATGTGTCCCATGGATGAGGAGGTTATATGTCACATGAAGGAGAAGGCCAGTGTGTCAAATGGAGGAGGAGGTCAGTGTGTCCATGGCCAGCATCTTGATGAGGATAGAGAGGCAGGAAGGGTGAGATCAGAGGACGTCTTGTGAACCTTAATGAAATGGGAATCCACTGAAGAGATTTGAGCAGGGGAAAAACATATGATTTATACTTCCTCAAAGATCACATTTTGGAGGAAGAACCAACAAGACTTCATATACACTGGATGTGCAACATGAGGGAAAAGAAAAAATCATACATAGTGTAAGCAACTTTGGGGTGGGGGTGCTGGGCAAGTGAATCAAAATTTCTGCTGTGAACAGACTAAATTTGAGATTCTGATGAGACCCCCTTTCCAAATAGAGCAGTCAAAAGTTGGTGTTTGGACATAGGCTGAATATTTAAATGTGGGCCTCATCTGAATATGGATGGTGTTGCACTACTGGGACAGGGAAGGGCACCTAGAGATCAGAGAGAGAGAGAAAACGGGGCCAAATCAAGCTTTACAGGCCAATATTC